TTATTTATTTATTTATTTATGTATGTATGTATGTATGTATGTATGTGTTTTCAGCCTTTAAACATGTTTTTATCATATTCTTCTCTGTGGCCATGTTCAGCCAAGTTCTTCTTGTAGAAACGCAACAGCGCCCCCTCTGGTCACAAAATGTGTAACACCTGTTTAGAGTCTACGGAGAGTTGGGGACTACCAGACTACCGGAACAGAAAAAGACGTTCCTGCAGCAAATTTCGACACAGTCGACATCAGGAATCACAGGAAAATTCAGCAGAAAAATTGTTCCATACAACAGACTTGGAAAGTGAGTGGAAATGTAAAGGTTGGTGTTTTTTGTTTTTTTTTTAACTGATGTCTTAGCTTAGCTTGCTCAGTTGCTACAACTATTGTCTGTGTGTATTTTTATCGCTCAAACCATCGCTTCTGTGTCGTTTTAAGAAACATAATGTTGATGTTTAGACTTTGTGTAAGTAGTATAGTATTATCGCCGTATGTGTGACTGACTGCAGTAGATCGCTGTGTGAGGCTAGCATGGATGCTAGGAGTAAAGCTAGCAGTAGGCTACAAACAATAAGGTTTACTGCACCTGTATCAAAAGAAAGTGCAGGGATAAGATCTGGGTGGTCCAGTGTTGATCTTTTACCTCCAATAAAATGTTTGGAGAGACTTTAAGTCTTTGGTTGCACTTTTTTCTGGTCAAATTCAGCTCGTCCCATCGCTGGAATCCAGCAGTTAGCCTAGCATCTTAGCTTGGGAAAAGTGGTCAAAAATGCTCCTTTCATGTTGGGATGATGGCTGTATCCTGAGTCACTGTTATAAAACCCGTAGCATAAGGTTTTTTGGTCCTCACGGTGGAGTTTGATGCTGTTTTCATGAATTTATTTAAGTTTAAACACAGTTAAATCGACAATGGGGCTGGTACGAGTGAGCGGACGTAGTCACGTGACTCCTGTTCTAAAAATAGCATGAGTGAAGGTTCCCATTGTTGGCATTTTTGTTGGTTTCTAAAGTCAGCCGACTGTGGCAGCCATCTTGATCTGTCTTTGTAAATTTATCCAACAGATGGACTGATAGAGTTTTATTGAATTTATTAAACTTCTTAAGGTGTTTCAAATAAAGTCTTGAGGTACGTGACAAATGTATTATTCATCATGGCGTGTCCACAGAGTGTAGCAGA